GCCCCCAGTGAGGGCGTGCGTGTAATCAGCTGAATCAACAAACTTGGCAAGATAGAAGTTATTCTCCAGGTCTACTAGTTAAAATGTGCCAGTAAAACACCAAAGGCTCTCGAGACGACTGAACAGAGGGCAATAGCCAACTACCCTACTAGCAACCTTACAATGACTGAGTCCTTCATGGAAAGAGAGAGAAAATTGTGTACCATGACGGAGAAGACCACCATAGGGAGGTCCCCAATCGTAGTGAGGATCGCATCCTCAATTTCAAACTTCTCATGTTTCTTCTCCGTGGACCTTATGTTGGTAAGTTTGTCCTTGAAGGAGATTCTATTTCATCCCAATCTTTCATATGGGTCCATTATGTTTTAGGCGCCGGTCTCCAACCCCTCATCCTTCGATTCTACTACCTCCATATCACTAGCCTCCGCCACATTTTCCTCCACATTACCATATGCCCCTGCCACTCCATCCGGTAACAGGTGGTCAGTGTCCATCTTTATTCTTACCTTTTTGGTTGATCGATTATGATCCAGGCACAGTGGTGCCGCGATCTTTTCAATGAGAGAAATATCTCTGAAAGAGAACATTTTTTGGAATAATGAATTACCTACTTTTTTAACATATGTTAAGTTTTATTTCACCAAACATAATGTATCTAAATGAGATAAATATTAAATAATAATTAATTTTTTAAAAAATTATATTAGTCATGATGGGCCTAAAAAATTTGACATTACTTTCAATTAATAAAAATATACTTATATACTGATTCATTTTTTTATACAATTTTATTAACTAGTTACAACAAAATGGTGAATAAATTTGTATTATATTTTCTTAAAAGTTATTCACTCTCTCATAATCTATAAATTTTAGTACATAATCATAAGTGTGTGATATATGAACTATTTCATAAACTGTTCAAAATAACAAAAATTAAAGTAAAAAGATAACTCAAGTTAACATATAAAAGCAACATAATTTATTAAGGAATTAATTGAATAAAATATTTGCTTTTATTATTTAGACAAATTACGATGCTACTAATCACATCTTTAATGATTTCGTATAAAGAAAGAGTGCAAAAACATGACTTCATATTAGGATTTAACATGAATTAGCATTGATAGCTAAAATACAAACTTAAAAAAATTGGTAAATTACAGACATAATCTCTTTTTTATTTTACATTTATCATATAAAAAAATATTATTAATATTTATTTATCCATCGTATAATATATTGTTAAAAGTAATATGCTTAACTTTCGATTTATGAATACAAATTTTTGTTCACACATATTTTATTCAATTGTCCGTACTTAATGTAACTCTTATTTTTTATATAAAAAAAAAATCGTATAATATTTTTGGATTAGCATAATTGTGTCACTCGTGGTTTAAATAAAATTCTTTGTCTCTAATTTTTATGTTTTATTTTTATACAGAAACAAAATCATTGTGAGTGCAAGTACATAAAAGATTTTAGCATATAGAAAAGATTAATGACTTAAAGTGAATGTGATAGCCATTAGTAAATAAATAAAAATTTAATTGTTAAAAGAATATGAAACTAAATAAATATTTGAGAAGAAAGAAAAAAAGAAAATATAAACTAGGACAAGATGTACATTTTTATTTAAATAACTAAGGGTAAAATGATTATTAAATTTTTAGTTTTTAATTAGGACAAATTATATTCTTACATATTTTTGTGTAATAGAGTAAATACGAGTGATATTTTTTAGTTTACTTTTATTATTTTAAAATATTTTCAATGTGAATCATTATAAATTAATGTAAGTCAAATAGACTAAAGAGGGGAATTATATATTTATATATATATATAGTTACCTTAATCCATTATATAAAAATCTTTATTTTTCTAAGAAATTTTCTTAATTGAAAGGGGTTTTTTTTTTTATAGATATAAATGTCATATAATCATTTGTTCACCAAATGAAAGTAATTAATTATCCAAATTATTGGGGAAATTATTTCATTTATCATTTGACGATTGAAGCTTTGTATTATATATATACATATATATATATATATATATATATATATATATCTCCACCAATTACAGGCGATAATTTCTATTATCTTTCTAGGAACCCATAATTTCGATTATGATTTTATTATAACCATTCAATGGAAATTGAATTTTATAATTACATATTAATTAATATAAATAAAGGCACAAAAATCGTGGATGTAAAATCCGAAAGGTAAGGTCAACCACAAAGCTGAATCTCTTAATCATAGTGATTTATGGTTATTAATCTAATCACATTAATTAAATTAATTAATTGTACATTTCCAAATCACCCCATTTTTAATTACCATGAGATAACACAATAACATAATATATACATCATAAATATAATCCCTCAAAGCTATATGCATTCCTTGAAATTGTAATGTAATTAATCATTAATTAATTACATAATTATGATAGTAATCAGAGTCTTATAATGAACTCGATGAATCAAGCTGACACATACATAAAAAATATATATATTAATAAATTTTTTTAAAATATCAATTAATTATCTCAAAAGAGTAATCAATATTTCAAAATTACACTATAACCCAATTAATTATTCCACGTAACAATTAAATTACGACCAACAAAAAGCATGCAAAAATATTATTTTTAAAAAAATTGTGCAGCTAATGAAAATCAACCCACTTGATAAACAACCTAGCCAGGGCCTTGAATTTTGAAGAACGAGACTTACTGCAAGATTTGAACTTACGAGAAATAGCAAACGAAGAATGGGAGGACGAAGAAGATGACGACGTTGTAGATCCAGACGGTGGATAACTGGACAAAGAATTAGTACTTGCAGGACTAGAAGAAGTAATCGAAACTGACGATGATCTTTGATGATCATCATCATGCTCAATGTTAGGGCACCGAGGTGGCAACTTCTTCGTGATTTTGGTTTTGCTTTTGCAGGGATAAAAATTTTTCTGTCGATTCCAGAAACAAACGTTTTTGGAAGATTTTGGAGCTAAAATGATCGCCGGCTTCGGCATGTCTACGCTTTCAACCGCCGGCGGAGGCTTGATCGGCGGCAATATAGCATCGATATCCCGATATGGATTCCGAGGAGTTCCGGGCATGGATTCCCAATCGAAAGGGACCTCGCAGACGCTGTGGTGATCAGAAATCGAAGAGGAAGAATCATTTGAGTTTCTTGCAAGGATTTTCTTGAAGAAAATCGTGTCGAGTTGAAGCATGGAAGCTGAACGCTCTTCTTTCTCGCTTTTGCTGCTCTGCTCATTTTCCATTTTTCTTCTTCTGGGTGTGTGGGTGAAGGAGGAAGGAGGAGACGGGGATCGATATATATATATATATATATATATATATGTATGTATGTGTGTGTGTGTGTGTATGCATACAGGGATTTGATGAGTGGGAAAGTGAGAATCAAATGAAACCATCTTTAAAAGGAAGGAAATAATTAATTAATTCCACAAAAAATCAAACGAATTTCCGAAATTTGACTCCTAAAATTAGTTTCTTTTTCTTTTACTTTCGAGTTTTAATCACATTTCAGAGAAGTTATATAGAAATTTTCTATTTCTGTTTTTTTTTTTTAATTAAAATGTTATGGTTATTATTCTTAGTTTCACACGTAATTTTGGACGTATGATGGCATTTTGTTTTTGGGTTTAAAAGAAAAGTAATTGTTTTTGTTTTCATATGTAAATATACACAGATTTGTTACTTACATATGTGTGTGTATACATATATATACATACATGCCTGCATATACTTATGTGTGTGTGTGTGTGTATATATAAATATATATAAAGTGACTGAATAAGTCTCCCCTACCAAATAATTCCTTTTGCTTGCTTCAAACTAAAATATTTATGATGGCTATATATGCAAAATAATAATTATCGGGGGGATCCTTCTTCACCCAATTAAAAGAAAAATATTGGGTTTCCTATTTTTTATTTATATTTTTCTGTGGGGATCATCAATTAATTAATTAATTAAAATTCTTATTTTGGAGATAAAAGAAGAATAATTTCAAATTCGGATCCAAAGTTTCCTAAAGCACCACTTATCTCAATTTGGATTTCTTTTATTCTGCATTTCAGGAATATGGTTTCCTAAATCAAATATTATAACTTTAATTTCAGATTTCAAAATATACATCTCTGATGTCAATTTAATTTTGTAACTTTCTAATTTAAGATATAGAAATTAAAAATTCATCCAGAAAATTTTCAAATCATAGTGAAAAATGATCAACTATAATATTTGTCAAATAAAATAAGACAAATATTATGCACAAAGAAAGGAACAACCACCTTGTATGCATATATATATTAAGTCTTAACATATACTTATAATTAATTAACCAAAATTTCTAGTTTGTTTATGAATTAGTTTCCTAAACAAAAATAAAATAACTAACATATGGTATAAAATCACAAAGATTTTTTGACTTTTTATAGCACACGTTTACAAAAACATAAATTACAAATTTTGCCCATGAAGTTGCTTAATTATCTTTCTCGCCTAACAGCCCGAACAAGAACAGAAGTCCAAGGACCACAACCATGAAGATTATGCCATGTATGATGATCATCTACATCATTATCATGCCTGTCATCATGACCATGATCATCATCATCATCGTCATCATGAGTACTTCCTACCATTGACGATGATTTCAAAGAATTCTCGTTAACAGAGAAAGAAAACGACTCAGACGAAGACGAATTAGAGCTCGAACAATTATTACCAGAAAACCGATGATCATGATCACCATCAGAGCTACAAATCTCATAAAAATTCATCAACTTATGATCATCGTCTTCGCCGTTGACCATCATCACGTTGGACTTTGCATCTGCTGCTTTAACCCACTTAATGCCTTCGTGGGTCTTCTTTTTTTGCTTCCAGAACTTGAGTTTCGTCATCAATGGCGGCTTGGGATCGTCAAAGTTAATGCATGGTTTTAGGTAAAGCCAAGCTTAGCTGAGCCGGCGGAGGGCTGAGAGGAGGAAGAGTGTCGTGTATTGGTTGGTGTTTAGGAGTTCCCGGCTGCTTTTCCCAGTTGAAGGGTACCCCTTCGGAGCTCCGGTAGTATTCTACCCGGGAAGAGTAACCCAGAGAAGGGTTTCTTGAAAGAATTTTGTTGAAGAACTCGTCTCTTTCAACCAGTGAAACCTTTCTTCTTGATCTTCCGCAATTTTGTTGTTGATGATCCATAATCTCTTCTTCTTTGCTATGAGTATTTTCGTTGAGATTTTGATATTTTATGGGTTTTTGAGTGTGATTTTTCTTAATTATGATCAAGGTTTGTGTGGGTGTCTATGTGTATATATATATATATATGTTGGTTTGTATGTATAGAATTTAGTTGTCTCCGGTTTCTTAGGGAAGTGATCGAGTCTTGAGGTACATGATCCCATGTTATATTCACAATATTAGGTGATTAGGGTTAATTAACTTGGAACTTAGAATTTAAAAATTGCTTTTGATTAATCATTAATTAATAAAACATTTTTACAAAAATTTAATTTTTGTTATATTGCCAATATATTATACACCCTTTCTTTCTTTGTTACTTGTCTCTTGAGTGACTTTGTTCTTAAGGTTACGTTATAAGAAGGTTAGAGTTTTCATTGGGTTGGATTGTAATGCATGTGCAATTTCACCAAACCCTTAAGGAATGGTCATCTTTTCTTGCTATCTACCTCTCTCTTTTAGTCTATAGGAAGGTGACCTTAAGCAAAAATAATTATATGGGTGGAAAATTACTTATGACATGATTTTAATTCGAATAATTTAACAAAAATCTTATAAATAGAAGTGTAATTCACACAATTATATATATACATATATATTGTTCTGCATTTGCAATGGGCTTTTTTTTTTTTTTTAAAGGAATCTGTATTTTTGATGGGTTTAACATTAATCGAAATATGCAATGAATTATTGCTAAAACGAAAAAATTAGTCCAATATTATTGTATGGGGTCGTAGGGCCACGTTGCAGAGAGGATGACCTATTCACATTGACCGAGTGAAGTGAAAAGAGATGGTTAAGGAAACTTCACAGCTCACTCAAACTCTCATATAGATACTACTGGTTTCAAATTCTGTGGACCGAACAAAAATCAGGCTTCTTTTTAGTGCCTAAGTAACAAAAACCTATTTTGTAGGAAGCTTTAAAATCGGTTCATTGAATTTGCCGACCTTATCGTAAAAAGAGTGGTATATTCTATTAGTTGACTTTTCAGGTCTTTTGCTTGTTTTCTTCTATATGTATTAGCTAGTAAGTAACTAAGAATTAACTAACTAATTAAGCAGAGATTATTAAATTAAGGAGAATTATGTGGGAGGTCGTTAACCAACCAAATGAAAAATTAATTATAGAAAAAAGGAAAAAAAAAAAAAACCAAATCTTCATGTTACAGGAAAGTTTATTTAAAAATAATAATTAGAAAAAAAACTGAGGATTTATCAGTTCATTTGTTTTTTATTGGAATTTAGAGAAGGGAATTTCCATTTCTAATTATAAGAAGCTTGATGATTGATTAAGTAGATTTTAATCATTGAAAAAGAAGAAAGGCTCTGAATGCAGCTATCAAAGTAATAACGGAGGAAACAAAATAATGAAAGCGAGAAACAGAAGTTGATTAAACGTGAAAGCATAAATGGAATCAATTGGTGGATAACGAGTAAATTAAAGCCTGTTACATATTAGAGAAATCAAGGCTAACGTGTGTAGTTATTTACTTATTTTGCAGAGATGACAGACATGGTATACAAATTTGCTAACATGAACTTTTTCGCACTATTCCCAAGCTGTGAGAAGTCTAGAATTGTTGATTGTCCACATTCTTCTTAAACGAAATGCCAATTTTTATTGAAGAGTCCATATTTATGGCATAATGCGTGTTGGTTTGTTTTTTTTTCTTGGAAAGAACTTCTAGCTAGGTATGGACACATGAAATAAAATACTGTCTGAAAACGACGGAAAATTCTACCTCCCATTGAAATGCATAACCTTTACTTAGAATAATAGAAAATGGTAGGAAAAACTTTTGTTTTGCTTTCAAAAAAACAAAGCAAGTTTCAAAATAATAATAATAAAGATAGATATCTTTGGAACATCTCAATTACATCTACTCAATTTTATCCTACCTACTAAACTTAAGTAATGAATATTCTACTTCCCTTTCTCATAGGAAATTTCATCTGTGAAAGGAAAAGGGAGAGAATTGATATTGAAGAGGGAGAATTACTTAAAAATACAGTAGATAAACAAAGAAATTTTACTCTGTAACTACAAGAACAGGGACCAGGGAAGAAACACAATCTGGAGATTTAGTGATTTACAGATAGCCGTATTGATCATACACAAATTTGGATCAGGATGAACATACAAAGGTTTACAATCTTAAACTACTCTTCAAGCAAAAATCTGAAGGGTACCATCACTCATTGCTAACGTCATATCCCTGAACGTAATAACCAAGAAAGCTATGAGGCCAAAAATGTAAGACTTCAATAATTCATTTTAAACTACCTTTTGGGAAGGGGAAACATCAAATACTTTTAAAAAATCCATGTTGACTAAAATGCCCCATGTGTGCGCATAAAACAAATAATAGAGTGCAAAGTGCAAGAGAGAAAGATCAAACCATTGTCCCCAATATGTTTTGTTAGTTGTTTCAAGAAACTTCTCTCTTCCTAGAACACTAGTTTTAAACTTATGCATGGGGAATTCTATTCAGAAAATATATTTTGATAGGAGAAGGTTAATCATGTACCTCAGCGGGTGATGAAATGATAGATTCCCTGCCAGAATTAGACTTCCATTAGTCTCCTGCTTAAACACCAATTTGTTTTGTTTTACAAATAGAAGCTCCGCACAAAGATGATGAGTGGTAAGAATACCTTGGCCTCTCTGACTTTGCAAGATGTTTAGACATTATTGATGCCTGCAAGAAAACCAACAAAATTTCAGTTCTTCAAACAAAAATAACTAAAAGTTCACAGCTGTAGTTTGGCCAAAAAAGAGGTTAAGTTAACAGCAGACTGATTTTTGGAAAAGAAGTTTGCATGGCAGAGCATAGGAAGGAATAGGATGAAGGGAAAACTAGTTAGAATGTAATAACTGGGGCAGGAGGAAAGCATAACTAACAGATTTTAGCAAGCACAAGAGAATGTAAGAAACATCAGAAGAACATATCTCGTACTCAAACCTGACAATAATTATTGAGTTTCTAATTTTGCAGAACAGGGTAAATAGGCACCTGCTCTTGGATTATACTCCTTGCCTCAACAAGTTGGGCCTCAAGCTCAAGCTCTCTTTCAGTTGCTTCAGAAGTAACTTCTGCCCCTTTCTGAGCATCCTGTAGCTGAACCATGCGCTCCTACAAGATTTTAGAGGAACACAATATCAACAATTTATGATCAAAATTCACCAGGATGCAGAAGATGGAAGCCGGTATGAAACTTTACCTTTATGGAAGTCATCTTAGTGCGGAGACTTTCTTCTATTTGATCTCTAGCCATATGAAAAGGTAGATCAAAAACATCCTGTAAAATTTACAAAACAACCAATGGCTACAGACAGCAGTAAACCCATTCAAGAAAAAAATGACCCTGCATCCATTATAAATATCGTACCGTCCTCCCAACCAAGGGTGATTGCGAGGGATCCGTTCCAGATTTTTCACGGCCAGCTGAAGATTGCTTGGACGACCCATTGGGAGCATTAAGGAAATCACGCATATCCACCTATAAACCAGGGCATCTAATGTGAAAGTGCACCAACAGAATCAAAACTTTTTACTTCAAAAAGCTATAAGTTTAAAATGGTATGGAAGAATCTACCTCTCATGCAAAGAAATCAAAACAATTAAACAAATAAAGGAGGTTGTTTCTAGCAAAGCAAAGTCATAATCCTTCATTGCACCTTACTAAAGGGAACCATAATGTCCCTGACCAGACTAACACCATATTCTTTGTGGACATTCTGCTCTCACTAACCAACAGAAATAGGGAATTTTGGTTTCAAAACCTATTGGGGAGAAATCTAGAAACAATTAAAAAGTTATACATCCATCAGCATGCATCATTCACAGATATTAATACACAGGTATTAATCAAACCAGCAATTATCAATCCTTTTGTCCCCCTTAACACCATTTGACAGCACAAAACAATCCTGCCTTACAACAGTAGAGTGGCCATTTCAAGAAACAAAGAAAAAGACTGGCAGTGTAACAGTATGGAAAAACCTAGTAGTTAGAATGCAGATCTTTCTTCAGTTACTATACATGGGTTTATCATTTTTCTCCGTAGATAAGATATATGAGAATCATTACCAACATATTCAACTCAATTAACACAGAAGAAACAGTGGTATCCACACCAGTCAACTTACCTGCACTTCTAATGTTATTCAAGCAAAAAAGTAACTTATGCCTTTCAGCTTCAACTAACTGTAAAGCCAGCATCAACAATATTCAGTTGCCTCAAGAATAGTTGCCTCAAGAAAACAAACAAAAATTTAAATGGAATAAGGGGGGTGTTTCTGCATTATAAGAGGAAGGAGAAATGACATAATGGGTTTTGACTCCCGTGTGCCATATCGAAACTTCATCAGCCTCTTTCTTCTTCATCAACAACTAAAAGAGAAATGGGACTCCATTTTTGGCGATATAGATAACACAACATTCCTTTCTAGTCTGCCTAATTGGGGTTGGGGGTCTAATACTAGGTAACTATCATTTCAAACTAGAAGCAAGTTGTTTTCTACATCTTTGTTTGGAATTAATCTGCAAATAGACCAACAAACATGCTTAGCAATTTATTCGTTGATACACCAATTCCTGATTCTAAATGATGATGACAACCTTCATGGAAATGTATGGAAACAGAAAGAGTATTTATTGGACTAGTATTGGTGAGGGAACTGTGTCTACGAAATGCCATAAACAGAAGCAACTAAAAATCCAAATAAAACATGACGTGCAAATATTCCTAGGAGAAAATTCTTACCTGCTTAAATTTCTGTACTACCATGACATCACATATAGGTTTCAGGAAAAAAATCCAAAAAAACAAGAAACAAGAAAGATCAACAGTTAATTGAGTAGACTGTTGTCAATTCTAAAAGGATGTAACAAAACCTTAAACTAGAATGTAATAGAATTTATATCTTCCCCAAACTGATTAGAAAGCTTTTCAAAATATTAATACACTTTACAATATCAAACCACCATTTTGCATATAATTTAGCTACACTGCAAGGGAAAAGAAGTAATACAAAATTAATTGATATTTTTATGTTTCTTTAATAATGACAAGCTCCAAATGCAACCACAAAAGTGTATGTTCCCATCAGTGCAGACCAGACCTTGATCAAGTGTAACAATAACAGTGATAAAAGGTTAACACAAACCTGCATCGATCGTAATAATGCCCTTAAATCAGCATTCTCTGCCACTAATTCTTGATTTTTCGCCTCATAAGCATCCACCTGTAAATAGCAAACTATCAAGCATAAATTAACCAGTTGCTACAAATCCTAAATAAGCCAACCATGATTCATACAATCTTTTTATAGAAATCATTATCAGCCTTCTTTCCATTCCAAGTTCCACGCTGCCGCCCTTCTTTCTGCTTATTCATGTCACGAAAAGTATTAGTTTGTGAAGATAAAACCTCCAGTAATGTTTCTAGAATTATAGTATTTATCCAACTAACACCTGGAGAAGATTCATTATTTCCATGCCAGATCTGGATTCCTTCTTTTTCTCCATCAAGACTTGATTTAGCCTTTCCTGCACAAGAAACAGAAACGAACAACTATTGCAAATCTTCTGTACTGGCCAAATCAATTCTGAAATCCTACTTGCAAAAAGATTCTCTTCAAAGGAACAAGATCCGACCTGTAACTTTATATACTCCTTTTCCTTTTTCTTCATTTCATGTATCTGTTGAGTCCTCACTTGCTTTGGCAATATCAATCAATCAGATAAGTGCGATTCAGCCATCACATTGAGTACATTTTGCTCTATTATCCACGAAAATGCAGAAAGAGAAAAAAAAAAATGAATGATTCACATTGATCTACCTGGTTTCCAATAACCATCCTTTGAAATTCATCTCGTTCCTGTTGTAGCTTTTCAATTTGGGCCTTAAAAGCTGCAGTGTTTTTGGCTTCCTGATCATAGAGTACTTCTGTAAGTGATACACTAGCCAATGCTCAAGCTTATATTATCTCAATTCGTGTAACTCACTGTTCGAGTAATCGTTGCAATCTCCCTATCTTTGGATTGTAATTGCAACTCAAGCCTCTCAACTTTGGCCTCTAGTCTGGATATGTCTGACAGCAGTCTAGAGAAAGGAAAATGACAAAAATACAAATATATTTATAATTCTTAAATATAAAAGAATTCTATATATTCACATCAATGAAACAGCAATTCATTCATTGGTACAAGTGACATAAAACAAAAAACCACCAAAAGATAAGGGTAAAAAGAGCATAGTGCCATGAAATTCGATCTTAGTGTACTTTGGAAAAATTTGTGATTGCTCTTGGCCCCAAAGGCGACCATCCACCAAACATAACAAACAGAAATGTGCAAGTTCGAGGTAGTTTTTGTACACTATTAATATAATATTAGATATTCCAATAAATTTTTTGTACTTTATTAATTGCACAATACAGAAAACTTAATCATAGTAGCAAGTCGAAAACAAAAATCAGGCCATGGGCTTCCACATCCTCTGTTTCCTCCAATTACAGATTATACGTACAAAATAGAACAATTCAAAGATGTAGACGCAGATAAATGACAAACAGACCAAAAAAGAAAAAATAACTGAATGTTGAAAAAAAAAAAAGGTCACCGTTGTCTCTGGTCATTAGCGGATTCTCTAAATTCCACATCTCTTTGCCTCTGCTGCAGCAAAGAGTATAAACAATTGCAGGTCCTCGCGATCGAAACCTAGCAAAGACCACAGAATTTATAATGTGAAGTAAAAGACAATTTCATGAACAATAAGTCTTCACAATCAATACGAACATAAACTCACCGGATCATTAGCAAAAAGATCGAGCGAGGCTGGAAATCCGAAGGTAACCAGCGTCTGGTTCAAATACTTCGTACAATGCTCCAAGTTCCCCGCATCTGCAAATGTGTACTCCCTGCAACAAAACCAAATCAAAACCCTACCAACACAAAACCAATACACACACTTATGCGTATATAGACTAGTAAAAGGCTGAAACCCTAGAAATGTAGAGGAACTGACCCGATTGACGAGAAAGCGGACTGAGGAGACGTCTGTGAAGTAACAAAAAGACAGAGAGTGAGTTTTAGAGAGATAATTAGAAGCGCATTGTCTGGGACAAAGAGATAAACACATACTCTGAGATCGAAGTCTGCATCAGTCGCTGGCATGGTCGAATGGCACGAGCTTCTTCAAGGTAGAGAGGAGAAAGGGACAAAGATCTTCCGATGAGAAAGAAGTGAACAGTTAATCTGTCAATATCCTTATGATAGATCTACTCTACCATAGCGGTGAGCAAATTTAAAAACTTGTAAAAAAATGAAATTCGCTCTCTTCCTTTTTAGACTGACTTAAAGTTTGAAGTTTGAACCGTGCTGGTTAAAAGGCAGACTTGTAATCCTATGTTTTGACATCCATCAATCTTTCATGTATTTCCTTCCATCTCCATCAATTTGTTTGACTTTCTCAAGTTCAAAACCACGTGGAACGAATATGATTGGATGAGTTCCATTTTAAGGATAGTCTGAGATTTCGTGGATTCCAACACGATATACATAAATGGCGCCATATGCCCATGTGGCATATACACAACAAAAGGCGTGAACATACCATATCACTTAAAACCCTTTCCTCGGATGGATGCACTAATGTATTAATTTATTAATTTAGTTAATTAATTAAAATTATTTTTATTATTTTTTTTTAACATTCAAATATAATAAGCATATATAAAATAAAATAAGATTTGGGCATGGCAGTCCATCTGCCAGACATTATCCAATTTTAAAACTCATCAATCCATCACATGATGTAGGTGGCCTTCTTGGGCAGATCTCAAACTTCTCGTGATGCTTCTTTCACCATTCACTCAATTAAAACTTACAAATTGAATGATTTTTTGGTGTGTATAGAATAGGAGGAATGTCATTTTGTAACGTAACAAAAATAAATAATTTCAATCAAAAATGAAATTAACATAAACTTATGATGTTATTTTTACTTAATTTTTATTCATTATACTTTTACTCTTATTTAATGAAATTAAAATGTAAATCAAAATTTAATATTAAATTCTATTTATTTAATAATAATATTTTTTTAATTCACATATTAAGAGGTACATTACTATAATTATTTAGAATAAGACCGTAAAAAATATATTTTTTTAATTTATTACTATTGCTATTAATAATGAACTCTAAGGAGATCTGAGATTTCTTTAATGAATTAATTTATCAACTTTTTTTAAAATTATAAAATTTGTTATGATAAAAAAATCTAATTTTCTATTTGTGGCATATTGGGCCGTCACATTCTCATTAAATATTATATGGTCGACAAGATTGAATACGGGCCAAGAGTGTAGGATCCGGTTGGCAATACGCTTCGTTTACTTTTTAAGAAGTAAAATAAAATGGACCACCCAAATCATTCTGACGTTGTGGAGTTGGTGGTCAAATTCAATTTTGGCCTGATGGTCTAAAAACCACACAAAAAATAGTCAACGTGACAAATTTAATCATGCACACACTAATTTAAATTTAAAATATTATTTTTCATCCCAAATCTTATATTATTATATTATATTCACATTTATAACATATAAAATTGAAGTTGATCAAAACATAATTTTTAATAAATGCTTCAAAACCTTTTGCTGATTATTGTTAGTGTCAACTTTGACCTTGTAATAAATCATTTTTAAATTATTCACCTAGTGTATTATTTACATGTAACAAGAATAATAATATTTACTTTATACTAGCTAGTAAAATCTCCAAAAGATTGGTGGGTATTTTATTTTAAATTTATCGTTTTTAAGATATGATTCACCAAAATTTCACATTAAGTAATAAATATTTATTTTTTATACGAGTTATATATTATTTATCAAAATTTTATTTTTTCATTTATTGGGAGATAATGGTCTTTCTTGCCACCGTGTGCTATCAATCACTTTTTGTTTTTGTTTTTGTTTTTTTCTCTTTGTTGGATCGTACGACTCCGTTTTCCCGTTTTGTATTTCGTGGGTAGTTTCGCATTACTCAAAGTACACGTGATATTTATGGTTTAGTTAACACCTAATTTTAATGGTTTACAATAAAGTTTTCTAGAAAGCTAAAGTTTATAATATAATTTATTAACTATAGAAATTGAACTCTATAATTTATGATATTTTAATCAATAATTTAAAATAATAGATTTATAATTAATGTTATAAGTTTGTGTTTGTAGTGTTACTAAAAATTTTGAATTTTTTAAACAAAATTCAGTAGTGGCTAATGGCTGTCAACTTAATTATATATCATGAATTATATATAATTATAAAATTTTATTTTTTTTATATATCAAATGACAAAAATTTATATTTCAGTTTAATTTAAGAGTAATAATAATAATTGTATTAAAGTAGATTTTTTATTTTATAAATTAAAATGCGTACATATATATATATATATGGTTTTTTTTGTTCAACGCGAAATGGGTCTCTATTAATTGAACACGTTGTAACTGTATGCCTCGTGCGTTTAATATCACTATGCCTACACAGTATTTTTTTTTTTTTAAAATTATACAATATACAATAAATTTAATATTTATTCAAATATGTAATAATTTGCTTAACAATATTCAATTTAATTATTGTAATTTGACCAAAACACTAATAAATTAGACTTTAAATTCCAATATAATTACTTGATTATTGTTTATTTTATTACCAATAAAGACTATTTCATTTGAATTTGTAATCTTCTGAGAGAGCCCAATTACTCAATTATTTATTTATTTGTATGTTTGTATATATACAATTTATATGTATATATACATTTGAATTTGTATTCGTACAATAACTTATTTCAGTGCAGCAATTTGAAGCAATATATTCGTGGAAACATACAAACCAGGAGTTTAATAAGCCTGCCTCGTTACCCTTTTTTTAAAAAAAGAATAAACATTACTTTTCCCACCTACTAAAATATTATGACAAAAATACCCTTGAAATTGGATGTCGACTAAATAATAAAATGCAAATATATCAAGTCTGACGTACCATAAAGTGCCTAATTTTCTCATATAAATATTAAAATTCCAAATTTCCGTGTGATAGTAATCTATACTTGTACTTCCAATTAAGCAACAAATTATGTAATTTTATTTTTATAAAATAATAATCTCTTTCTTGTAGTACATTAAAATAATTAATAATATTGTATATATTATTTAAATTATTATTAAATACATTTAATTTCAAAATGTTAAATAGAATTAATACATAGAAATAGATACGGATGAATTTATAAGGAACCCAAGTGGATGGTTAGACTTTTTGTATTAACGAATGAATGAATTTTTTGTCAACTAAATAAAAAATATAAATTTTATCAAATAAATAAATAAAAAAAATAGAATAAAATACTAAAATTCACTAGTATGTATATAAAATTATTATAAATATAATAAAAGAAAACATATAATATGTACATTAATTATATTAGTGTATATAATATGGATTCAAAATTTGTTGAATGGTTAAATGCAAGAAAGCATCCAACTTATCAACTCGTCGTGTTCTATTTTATTTGTATAATTTACTCTTGCATGTGTAAACTTGTTGTATCAAGCAATCTTATCATTTATTTTAGATTCAATGTTTTTTGGTGCTATTTGTATATAATTATTAAATTTGTTGTAAAGTTATATTAAAATAGGTTATTTGTTTTTGGAATTATAGAATTTGTTTTAAATAATATTATCATATATATTTTCTAAAATTCAATTATAAATATAATAATGAATCAATGTTAATCTTTTGAAATTTTTAAAATTTGCATAATTAATATGATATTTTTATATTAAATTTGTTGATTTTTGTATTATCACCCATTAAGGAATAGATTACAAGATTCATTAAACATAAAACTTACTTTAAATTAAAATATGAGTTTTTTAAATTTTTATTTGTATTTTAAAATTAGAATTCAAACCTAACTGCATATAAAATTATAGAATTTTATACAGTATCAAAATAGTATTTTACGATTTTTATTAATTATAATTATATTTGAAAATATATTATTCCAAATTCACGTAAATTAAATACATATTTTGTAAATAAATTTCACAATATTATATGAATTTAGGCCAAATGTTCACATTTGACATATCCATTATCTCAAACTAAAATCTTGTTTGCTCAACCACAAAACCAATATGTATGTATGTATATATTTTTTTTATAAGAGTTGGCGGTTTACTCAAACACGTCTACGTATAATACAATAATTAACTTCCATTAATTTAATTAATACGAAAATATATTGTTATCATTTTTAAGAAAACTATCTAAAATACTAATTAACCTACTTGTTAAAGCCAAAATCAAGAGTTTTCGACCACGAATATGTCTAAAGCGGAAACCAAGAAGATCTCTTATGGGTTGATTGATCTTACACGTAAATAGGTGCTAGTGATAACCCTCTTCGGAGCTCACGTGTCATTCAATGATTGGCTAGTTTTGTACCCCAGTTCCCCCAAAGGGGATTTCACCGGCTACGGATACCCACACACAACAGTGTAAAAAGCTACGGGAAAGTGACAGAAAAAGACCTTGTTTTGGAATTTCACCTTTCATTTTTTTGTGGAAAGAAATAAAGAGTTTCTATTTTTTTTTTTTTAAATATTTAAAAGCAAACAATACACCAGAGATCTTGCAAAAGTAGACGTGGTTGGATTCTTAACCATGGTTAATTCGGAGTTAGGTGGGTTTGACTAGTCTGGTTTGGTGGGCGTTGGTTCAATCACCGCCCAGTGTTGCCCCTTATAACTTCGCTCTAGCCTTCCCCTCCCCCTCCCTCTCTTTCTCAGGGAAGTCTCTCACCATTTCACCAACACCTCACCTACCTGCAACGTAGAGACGAGAAAGAGAGAGATCTTCCCTTGGTTCTGAGTTTAGGTTTGTTGCCGCAAGCGATCGGACAGAGACACCATGCAATCTTCCTCTTCCAGCTCAATGAAGGTGTCACCGTTCGATCTAATGTCAGCCATAATTAGAGGAAAGGCGGACCCGTCCAACACGTCGGAGTCGGTGGGAGAGGTGGCGACGATCCTGATGGAGAATAGGGAGTTCGTGATGATCCTCACCACTTCCATCGCGGTATTGATCGGGTGCGTCGTGGTGCTGGTATGGCGGAGATCCAGCTCCCAGAAGCCTAAGATTCTCGAGCCTCCTAAGCCTTTGATTGTCAAGCCGGCCGAGGTTGAAGTCGACGACGGCAAAAAGAAGGTCACCATCTTCTTCGGCACTCAGACCGGCACAGCAGAAGGCTTCGCCAAGGTACACGGCAGTAAGCCTATACTTATATCTTATCAATACAAAGCACGCAAATAATTAGCATGTCAGTATTTTTGATGTTGTATGTATTTGAGATAGTTGCTTAATTTTGTCGAAATGATGAATAGGCGTTGGCTGAGGAGGCACGCGCGCGGTATGAAAAGACAACGTTTAAAGTTGTTGATTTGGTAGGGGGCTGTCTGATTTTTGGTTCTTCCATCAATTTTTATTTTCATTTCTGTGGATTTGATTATCAGATTGTTGGTGTTCATGGTTTCTTCACTAATTGCTCGCAGGATGACTATGCGGCGGATGATGAAGAATATCAGGAGAAATTGAAGAAAGAGAATTTGGCTTTCTTTTTCTTAGCCACGTCAGTATCAATAAGCTATTCTGAAACTTGAAACGCTTTGTTTTTCGCTTCAGATTTGAGCTAATATTTTTTTCTTTTTTTTTGCTCTGGATGTAGATATGGAGATGGTGAGCCGACCGATAATGCAGCTAGGTTCTATAAATGGTTTACTGAGGTAACTTTGCTTGGATTTGATTTAAAGTTGACTATTTTCGGTGTCATTTACCTTTAGAAGAATTTGTTGATATTTTTATTTTAATGCGGGGTTGGATGTTTAGGGGAAGGAGAACGGAGATTGGCTTAAAAACATGAAATATGGCGTTTTTGGCCTCGGCAACAGGCAATATGAGCATTTTAATAAGGTCCTAAATGAAATTCTTATGAAATTTCTGACACAAATTTCACTTTGCTTTAGAGCTATCTCTTATTTAATGTACAAGTTTGTGACGGTGTTTGTTCTATATTTTGTAAATTGCAAAACAGGTTGCCAAGGTGGTGGATGAGATCATTGCTGAGCTAGGTTTGTTTATCTTTATCATTCACACACTCTGCATATAAATTGGCATGAGAATTAGTTGACTCTATATTGGTTTTGCTACTCTGAAAATTTATTGAGTAAAAAGAATGCTGTGGCATGTAGTCTTTCCGGCTTGCTTCCTTGAGTTATATTGTTGGTCCCAAAAAGGTAGCTAGTGGTAGGTGTTTTGCTTTTGCATGGAGATGATGTTGTTTTAGACAACAATTTGGCTTTCCATCAAGGATTTGTATAGAGAACTTTGGCCTTTCATCAAGTTTTTGTATGAAGATGCGTGTTTCTTATGTTGGTAATTTTAGTTTTCAAATCCTTAATTCAATGTGATGGAAAACAATGCACTCTAATAGACCATGGGATTTTGTCTGCTGGATGCCCTTTTTGGAGTAATTTGCTGAGTGTTAAATGGAAAATTTTTGGTCTCTGTACTATATTCTCAAGTAAAATTCCATCATTGAGCTGCAATTATATAAAGCTTGACAGAAACCTGTTCATGAAGCATTTTAGCAAACCTGAGATAAATGTTATTGTGAAGATATTGAAAATGCGACAGTACATTCACGGCATTGTGTTTTTAAGTTGTACCAGAGTGATCATTGCCTGGGGATTAGTAGGTCATGGGTTAACACTGGGCTTGCTTCTTATCCATCTGAATTTAATTGTCTGCAAATGTCGAAATATAACATCGATTCGTCTTGGCAATGCAGTTTGCTTACTTAATGTCTTATTGCCATAATGTATTTACTAGTATGGTTTCACGTTTTAACCACATTGGTTTATTTGTGTCCTAAATTCTTGTTTCTTTTGCTAATTCTTTTTCAGGTGGGCAGCGGCTTGTCCCTGTAGGCCTAGGGGATGATGATCAATGCATTGAAGATGACTTCACTGCATGGTATTAAGAGCTTGAATCGCTATTTTGAATCAACAGTGTTATTGTGTCAATGGAGGTCCTAACTTTTCTCTGCTTTAACTGTTTCTTTCTAGGAGAGAATTGGTGTGGCCGGAGTTGGATAAATTGCTTAGGGATGAGGATGATGTGACGGCTGTTTCTACACCTTATACTGCAGCTGTTTTGGAATACCGGGTTGTCTTTTATGACCCTGAAGATGCAAAGGTAGAGGACAGGAGCTGGAGCAGTGCAAATGGTCATGCTGTGCATGATGCTCAACATCCATGCAGGTGTGTGGAGTATGTAGATTTGATTTCCTGTACAGTTTCGTTCACTATTCTTATTCAACATTATCCAAATTATATTCTGTTATGTCATTAAGGGCTAATGTGGCTGTGAGAAAGGAGCTTCATACTCCAGAGTCAGATCGTTCTTGCACCCATTTGGAGTTTGACATTGCTGGAACCGGACTTACGTAAGTTGCTTTCATGAGCTACTTCAATTTGATGGGTTGAACTATTGTTTCAATCTTGTTCTTCATTTGAACTGTTTTAGTTCTTAGAGTGCAACGTAATGCATTATTGAAGATAACTCATCAGCGAAGTAATGAATATTGATCATCAAAGTGTCAATTTGCTAATAGTATCTTTCTTTTTTCAGATATGAGACAGGGGATCATGTTGGTGTTTACTGTGAAAATCTAAGTGAAACCGTGGAGGAAGCACTGCAGCTATTAAGTTTGTCACCAGACACTTACTTCTCCATCCATACTGATAAAGACGATGGCACACCACTTAGTGGAAGCTCGTTGCCTCCTCCTTTCCCTCCTTGCACATTAAGAACAGCACTTACTCAATATGCTGATCTTTTGAGTTCGCCTAAGAAGGTTTTTACATTTTCTCGATTCAATAAATTGTTGAGTTTTTGGTCAACAGAACATTTACTTCAATTTCCTTTGTTGGTACTAACTCTTATTTTGATTGCATTTCTATTCAGTCCGCGTTACTAGCATTGGCAGCTCATGCTTCTGATCCAGCTGAAGCTGATAGATTAAGGCATCTTGCATCACCGGCTGGAAAGGTTGTGAAAGAGGATATCGTTGCTCATTATAAATTGGTTCCTTTGTTGTCCTCATTCTATTGGTGGATGTTAACTTCTTTTCTGCTTCCCAGGATGAATATGCACAATGGATAGTTGCAAACCAGAGAAGCCTTCTTGAGGTCATGGCTGAATTCCCATCTGTCAAACCCCCACTTGGTGTCTTCTTTGCTGCAGTTGCGCCACGCCTGCAGCCCAGATACTATTCAATCTCATCATCCCCAAGGTAATGATCAACATAACATGCCTTTGTCTGGAACCATTTCAATAGTAAAACCTTGTCTTGTATCTGGGACTAATAAGATAGGGTTTGTTGTCTTTAAGAAGCTGGTGGGAAAAGAAAATCAACATTGTCATGTGCATATTGTTGGTTTAGATAAAATTATATGCATATGCAAGTTTACATAAATGTTAACTATCTGCAAATAATTTTTGCAGGATGGCACCATCAAGAATTCATGTTACTTGTGCCCTTGTTTATGATAAAATGCCAACAGGTCGGATTCACAAAGGAGTGTGTTCAACTTGGATGAAGGTACTTATTTTTCCCGTTAATATAATCTAACATCAAACTGCAGGCTCTTGTAGGGGGATACGTTGTGTGGGAAAAGTTGGATGGAGCTTCCAGATTTATCTATATGTCCTAGTTGACCAACTATAGTAGAGTCCTTTTTCGTGATTGACCCTGTCTAGAAGCCATATACCATGCCTTTTAAACAGTTTTTATTATTCTTTATTTTCTTACCCTCACCTGTGTGCTCCTCTGTCTAGCTGTGTCATTTTATCATAGTGTAAGAATGAAATTTCGAGCAGTTTATAATGATTTTATACTTTCTGCCCCTCCAGAATGCTGTGTCTATGGAAGAAAGTGATGAATGCAGTTGGGCACCCATTTTTGTTAGGCAATCCAACTTCAAACTTCCCGCAGATACTAAAGTGCCAGTTATCATGATTGGCCCTGGCACTGGATTAGCTCCATTCAGGGGTTTCCTACAGGTTTGTTTGCGAGCTTAATGTTAGTCACATGTTCTATTGAGGCTATGTTGAACTATATAGGTTAATATATAGATATATTTCTGTTTTTTCAGGAAAGATTTGCCCTAAAAGAAGCTGGGGCCGAACTTGGTCCTTCTACATTATTTTTTGGGTGCAGGAACCGTAAAATGGTTAGTTTTCTGACCTTTAGTTTCTGAAACAATGCAATTGGGTTAGTCATGTTGGTGTAGATTTTCTCTGCCGTTTAACTTAAATGTTTTTCATCTAATGCTTGCAGGATTACATTTATGAAGATGAGCTCAGTAACTTTGTTGAAAATGGTGCACTTTCTGAGCTGATTGTCGCCTTCTCTCGTGAAGGACCCACCAAAGAATACGTGCAACATAAGATGATGGAGAAGGTACTGAAATTTTTTTTTTCTTGTACCACCTTGCAGGGGAGAAGTGTATGGGTTTTAAGTTTTCCTTTCCCTTTGAGGTTTTGCTCATATGTTTGCTCTGTCCAGGCTGCAGATATCTGGAACATGCTTTCTCAGGGTGGTTATATTTATGTCTGTGGTGATGCCAAAGGCATGGCAAGAGATGTCCACAGAACTCTGCACACTATTGTGCAAGAGCAGGTAATTTTCGTATAAATCGTCTTGAAATTATAGTAGTTTGTTAGAACATTTCAGTTTCCTATTGCATGTCATTGTGATCAGAAATGTTCACAGTCTGGTGCGTGGTGTTTTGTGTCCACAACTTCTCTGCCATTTCAATATTTCCATATTTTTTGGCAAGTTAGTTACTTGGAACTTGGGGATCTGTTTTCTTGATGGTCTAGTTAAGGCTAGAAGTGCCCCTCTCATAACTTTTGTTTGTTCCATGCCTTGTCTGGCACTTGGTATTAGATTTAACCCATAAGTGGCTTCAATCCTCCGCGAACTAATGCATAGCACTTGTTGATTTCAGGGATCTTTAGATAGCTCCAAGGCAGAGAGCATGGTGAAAAATCTACAGATGAGCGGCCGGTATTTGCGTGATGTGTGGTAACATATTCTTACATTTACAGTTTTTTGAAGAGGAAGAAAATATAAATATGAAAGGAGAATTTGCCTTAAAAATATAAACACACCATGACTGGGAGGCTACTAGCATACCGGCTCCTTCCCTCCACACCCCACCTACAACAAATGACAGATTGTTGTTGTCATTTTGGCGCGGTTCTGTGATTCTTTCGAAAGTACTCTTACCTTTATTTGTAAGGATTTTTTTGTTCGTGTATTTATCTACCTTGTACAATAATATGATGATTAGTTGATAGTTTTTATGAACTTATATAATTTTCCTTTGTATTAAATTGAGCCTACAAAAGAGGTTTCGGATGATATGACAATCCAGCGACATTGTTCGGCATAGCTGCATGTCATAAGATAATGGAAAGTTTGCTATCTGAAACACCCCCACCCCCTGCTGCTGTCGTTTTCCTACTACTTCCCGTAAACATTATGAGCTCAACTTAAAACTTGTCTTTCGTACAATTTATGCCAATTTATTGAATGAGTTACGTAGTAGTTCTTAGTTTGAGCTTATAATACTGATTCTAACCATTAGGCCTTGTCAATACATTATTATTCTTTATTTAAAAAAAGAAAAGAGAAAACTATACATCATTATCCAAGAAAAAAGCCAAATACGTGGTGCACTTAATTGATTACGAAAATAAATAAATAAAATTTAAAATTAATTTTTAAATATGATACACAATTAAAAAGTTCTCTAATAGATTTGTCAATTAATAGATCTCAATTTTTAGGCGATTATAAATTTTAAATAAATTTTATTGAAAACTTGTTTAAAATTTTATTTGACTTTAAAAGTATTAAAACTACAGTTCCTCGTAAAACATCTGTAATATCTAATATTGAATACTAGTATTGGGGAAATTTTTTTATTTTTAAGTATGTATCATTATTCCAAATGAGTTTATTTTTATTAGTAAATTGTAATAAAACAATGTTCTTCCCACATATGATATGTGTTAGGATTGTTACAATGTGTAAAAGTATTCTCTAAATATCGTACACCGGTTAAGAAATGAAATAATTTTATTAAATATAATGTAATTTACAAAATAAAATAATTTCCATCAAAACTCTATTGTTTTTGTCACGTTACATTTGTTAGAATTGATAAAATCTTCTTACTTATAAGATTTTAATAATATTATAACAAATTCGAATAATAACTTAAAATTTTGTTACAGTGGGAAATATTCTTTTTTTTTTTTCATAAAGAACAAATATTATTTATGATTTCTTCAATTTATTCAGGTGTCTGTATTGTTGAATGACATTTTCACAACATCAGCATGACAGCGATGACCTGAGTCAATAATTTCTGAAACTTATTTAATGAACGACATCGTAAATTCATTGTTATCCAAAGGTCATGATGCTCTTGACATTTGAAAATTTTGACGAAACCAAATAAATATTTCAATTCGACCCACGGTAACTTTTATCTTTGGCAATAAGAGAAACACACTTGAAAACAAGCAATCTGTCTTGTCTTTTTCTTTCCTTCTTTTCCATAATTTCTAAGGAGTTAATTCCTTTATACCAAATTTATAAGTATATTTTTCATAAATTTTTAAATTTCAACACAAGCAATTTCCATTAACGAAATTAACGAAGGATTTGATCTTAGTAAATACTAATTTACTGAAAAATACCCACGATCTAAGTTTTATGTATACGTGTATTATATATAAGTGGGTGGGTGATAATTAGACTTCGAAATGGAAATACAATTTATTACTTGTCAACTTTTAATTGACGAATTACATAAAAGAAAAAAGGACCAAAAGCATGGAAAATAGCAAATAATAAATAAATAAATAAATAAAGTGTCACAAACTGAAAGCACATCAGATGAGTGCTTTGAATTTGGGTAGTTGAAACTAGGAGACATTGAATTTGGGTAGGTGGACATGCAATTTTTTCCATCCCTCACTTATTGCACGTGTATTTATTTTGGTTGGTGAGACAACGACCGTTTATAATTATATATCTTACCACCTTTTCAAAATTATTTAATGTGTATTTATATGTATATAAATTAATTATTATTTTAATTTCAAAATTATAGGTCCCACCGTTTACTTAATTCTCATTTTAACAATTTTATTGAATGTATTTTCAAATTTAATTCCCACAAACATCAATTCAAAATTAAATATGCACGTAGTTTGAAATAATGAAAGTTGACATTGAATCAAAGACAAAGAATACAGTAGCTTATGCAATAACTGTGGCGTTATATTTCCCGCGAATAATGTATTAGAAAATATATTGAATGTTATTGTTTAATGATCACAAAAAAGTCGTGAGTAGTATTGATTAATTACTAATTAATAAATTAATAGTAATAGTAATGATAATTATTGACACTTGATATACAGGCAACGAGTTCTTTTTTCTTAAATTCAACTCAATCTTTAATTAATCTAATTTTCATTTAAACGGCGTAGTTTCTTATTGCAAGCACAGGTTTCTTAAGATCCATCTACACAGTTTCCCAATAAGAAGAGATCATCCATCTAAATTCCAACTATATCTCAAGATAAATAAATAACTGCATTCACAATATGATCATAAATAATGTTTCGCTCCGAGGTTGCACTTGTAACAACAAGTCTGTCTATCCACACTTGGAAAAATATAACCTATCTGATATAAAGTAGATTCCCAGACAACGATAACCAGTACAAAATCATACAACTGAAAACAAGAAAGAATTCAGTTTTGAAGTTTCTTGCATTAAGGGTCTGTAAATGACATAGGTATCCAGGAATCACAAGTCCGTTTAACACGCCCAACAATGATAAAGTATAATACATGCTTGACATGAAAGAAAACCAGAGCTTGCTACCGAAGGCCAAGCTAATGTTCAAAAAGGTAATTAGTCTCGGTCAGCATCTTCAATTTCTTCATCCTCTGGCACCCCGCGAAGATAAAGAACATTGTTGCATCTGCAGATGATGTAACGTTCAAAAAAGATACCCTAAGATATTGAGTTAGGAATATTTTCATTTTGTTTTCAATTATATCTTTCCGTAGTGATTTACTGTCCAAATCCAACCTATAAATAGAACATCTATAAGTTCAATAGCGCAATTAAGCTATATGTATGGTTTGGTACTCCTCTTGATTGGCAGTTCGATAGCGCAATTAAGCTATATGTATGGTTTGATACTCCTCTAGATTGGCAGCTTTGTATACACACGCGCGCACACACATGGCCTTGAACTATAAAAACAATCTTGAAAATCTGTTCTTCTCAGGTCATATAACAGCCAATTGTTGATAAAAGATGAAAGCCAAATTGTTTCTTATTGGAACAATACAGAGAAAAACATGATTTTATAGACATTTTAACTCACCTGGATAAATAATATGGTTAACTCATAGGCCAATAAGAACACACTAACATTTACAACTTCATTTTAAGTTGGTGAGAAACTAAAGATACTAGACAAAATTCAAAGCAAGCAGCTCCAACTATGATTTTCATACATTCTGTCCCTTATGCTCTCTACAAGCCTAACCAGCTAGTAAGGTACAGTTGAGGCTAAAAGTAGCACAGAATAATTTCCTAGAAATCCATTAATGACATTTAACCAAAGCTCCAAAATCCGTCTCATTATGAACCAAATCTGATTACTGAGAAAATGCAGAATTTCTTCAAAAAAAAAAAAAAGAACATTTCGGAATGCAACATCTATCCAATCCATGGAAGTAGCAAACAGTGAATCACACGCTATAATCAAATACTAAAAGGTGCTCTAAGATCAATACCGGTCTTCTAAATGAAAATTTTGAAACTAATTAACAAAATATCCGACAATTTATTTAAAAAATGTGTCAAGATAATACACAGCTAGATATAGTTTTTTTTTTTTTTTTCTTTTCAAAATTGTGCTGCAATTTCAGGGAAGAATCTTAATCAAGGAAATGTTTTTACCTGATTAAAATCTCTCCCAGATTTCCTGTGAACTGTCCCTCAATATATTCTTCAGCATTTCCCAGCTGCATTTACAGATAAAAGATTTCCAGCAACAAAAGTATAATCATAGAGATAAACCATTCCCATGAAAGAATCTATTAGTTACAAGAATGATAAGGGAGCACCTGCAAGTTCATGTAAGAGTCCACTGAGGCTAGAAACCCTGTATGGCCAAATCAAATGAACTATTCACATATCAACTGAAAATGAAAAAAAAAAAAATAAAAACAGGAGTCGTGGACACAGGTGGCTAGAAGGAAAAATACCTTTATATTCCATTCCCCACTTCAATTTTACAATAACTGTCTTCCCAGTTAAGTTGTTCAAGAAGGGTTTGGGGTTAACTGGTATAGTCTGCAATAATTAAGAAACACAAAATCAAAATTGAATTTCGATTTCGAAACCATGGAACAAAGGCTTCGAAATCTAAATAACCCGCGAAACAGCAGTATCTAGCCCTAACTTCTCTAAAAATATATTTTTCAATCAAGCAAGAGCATTAAAACGCTGTAGCCAATCTTCCACGGTCGTAAGTAAAGAAGTGAATTACAACTTACCGCCATTGAAGAAGACGAAGAGAAGAACTCGGAGAAGATCTTCCGTCTACTCTTCGCAGGGTTTAGAGGTTTATAGATAGCCGATACATTTGGGTACAGAATGACTCGAAACTGCCCTCCGCCTGGCAATACGTCGGGTCGGGTTCTATTTTGTGAGTCGGGCCTACCCCCGGAAGTAAGTGGTAAGTCCAACTACATAACAGCGAAATGAACACACGCATTTGCTGAAAATTTATCAGTTTTCTGTTATATTTAAAATTAGAAATTTACCATCTATAAAAATTTAAAATTTAAAATTTAAACTAATTTTTGATTGATTTAATGAAAAAAATTCGATTAATTTGTAACATTATCGTGTCAATTGAATTTGTCATAATTAAATTTTGTTCCATATAATTTGGATTTTAAATTGACTCATAAAGTAATCACAACCCACCAGATTCAATTAGAATGGAGCTTTACTGACTCTTTCCAAATTGACATGCAAATCCATGAATTTCATTTAAACACATAATTTTTCTAGTCTCTCTGTGTGTGTATATATATATATATATATTCCAAGTAGAAAGTTAAGGAAAGAGATCCAGAGGTTCAGAAGGTGCCAAAGCTTTTACATAACAGCTTCCACAACAGACGAATGCCGCTGCTAATATTAATCTGTAAGCCTTTACTGATTTCCCAATGCAAGGTCATGCCAAGTATCCTCATCCACTAGTTGGCTATCTTGATCTGTAAAACAGAACAAAATTTGCAAGTCAATTGCAAAATTGCAGAGAGATCTTGCAGATGAAACAACAAGTACATGTTCGATCCAACATATATATTTTTTAAGTTCCAATTTTATGAAAATATTTCCAAGGTTTCAACCTTCTTTCTTCTTTTCTTTTTTTTTTTTTTTTAATCTTTTGAACATCAAAGGGACAAATATAGATACAGCTAGCTAATCAACCACCAATAGATATCAAGAGGAGCATCAAGATTAGACAGAATAAATTGGACATACTCGAGTCTTCAGTATCGTCACTACGAACAACCAAGACAGGGGGTAATGGGAGATCTGCATGGTAAAATAACAATAAATCAGAAGGAGCCAGATGGAACCCAAAGGGTGAAATAGTATTAATTGAAAGATAAAGGAGAAGGGACCATCATTGGGCAGAGTATCTCCCATCCATTCCTCATCCACAATATCTATAAGTATGCCAAGGCTTAGTAGCTCTGCCATATTTGCTCTCTCTATTTGAGTCAATATCCTTTCAGAAATGCACATACAACAGCAAAAAGATTCAGTTCCTGGTAAACAGTATTTCTAACACAAAAGCAAACTAGTTACTTACAGAAGTAGACATTAATTATTTAAATATTCTCCAAGAATTAGCAAAAGGGCATGTTCAATACATATTTGAGAGCATTTTTATAGAAAAAAACAGCTCTAATTTAAGGAAATCTATTGCCTTTGTCTTCTGGTATTGCAATCAAGCTATGTTGGAACAAACCAATAATTTTTGCATAATTCATTTAGAAATCCACAACTGGAATTTCCCCAGTATATCAATTTTGATTGTCTTCTAAAAGAATATCCATTTTTCATAATTAAACTAAGCTTAAATTTCCAAATGGATTCCAGAAAAACTTTAGATTTGTTCCAGACATAACCTGAGATTTGCCAACTGTTACTACCTCACCTAACCCAAAGACAAAAAAAAAAAGCAGATTGAAATACACACGAGAAAATAGACAATAATGGACATGCTAGAACATGGCTAGTGACTTACGAAGTGGGTGAGCAAACAAGAAAAACTTGATCCGTTTCCTACACTATTCTTTCACTGAAACTAAATCGCTATCGGCCAAAGCGGCATCCAGAAACCCTGAAAGAAAACATGGCAATATACGACTGCATAACGAGCCAAGAGGGAAATTTAATGAATTCAACAAAGAAAATCCATCGTATCTTTGATCACAGGAATCATTCTAATAAGAATATAGACTTAGACTACTCTAAGGAGCAATTCATCGAACAGGTAGCCTGCCGGGTATCTAACTCTACATCTCCCAAAAAATATCAGCAAATACAGCAGAAAAAAGTAAATTAGAATAATACGCGACGCATCGCGGGACTTATTTCAAATGCATTAGCAGCAGAATACAGTTCGAAACAACTGGAAGCACCGGTTGTGGGATGACAACCAATTATAAGAACATCACGTTTTGACTAATGCCGAATAGATAAAGATGGAGAGAAAGAGATATGAAATGGAGTAAAGAACGGAGAATGACGGAGAAGTATAATCTTTTATTATAGTTTGAGGTTGTACCTGATCGGAACTCCGATTTGAAACTATGCAAGTCGGTGACTGAACCCAATTACGGTTACCGGTTTTGGAGGAAGAAAGCAGATAGCACGGAGAAAGAGAATTGAAGTTCGAAAGAAAAGGGCTATTCTCTACAGCGGTAATGGGCTAACGGGCCAGTAGCCAGTGGCCCATTATTTTATTCTGCAAGAATTGGTTGTATTGTAATTTCGTAAATTTGTTTATTTATTTATTATTATTATAATAAAAAATTAGAGATGACGTGGAGGTACCGACCAAATGAGGGTCAAAGAAGCGAGGCGTTCGGCGACCGTAGCGCGGTCGTCTCCACGGCCCATGCATTTCAATTTACAAGACTCTTGTGTTATAATACTACAAATGTACTTCCCATAACTAATTTTATATTTATTTAACCAAAAAAAATATATATAAATATATTTTGATCACTTTTTCTTCACGCATTGTATCACCATCCCAATAAATATTATATTTATTACTCCCCCATGTCGCAAATTTAATTAATTTTTATCTCAAAATTTGAAGAAAACAATTATTAAAAAAATAAAAGATTTATTATAATCCCAACACAAAAGCTACTACATTTACACCATCTTTTGCACTTGCAAAGCAAACATCCCTCTCCCCTCTCTTTCCAGAAATTTTATTTGTAGACACAGCTAGCAACCCAAATCTCATTCTCTCTCATATTTATAACACGCATACATACATTTAATTAATTTTTGGATTAAATTAGATCAGGAAAGTAAAAAAGTTAAAAAAGAAGAAAAAGGTGGGGGAGGGGGAGGAAAGCAGAGCAATAATACATGGGAGTAATGAATTGAAGAGGAGAGACCACAAAAAAGAGGTCCCGAAGTGGTTAAATGTTAGAGAAAAGAAATGGGAAATTCAACAGTGTTGTATGTCATTCGCATTTCACTCTACAGAGCTTTGAGGGACCAAATTCAATTAAATATGTATATTTTTCTTTTTAAATTTATTTTAATTACTCCAATTAAAATTAATGGATGGATATACATATATATATTTAATTAAATTATACAAAATATCTTGTCGTGTTTTGTTCTTTTCAAAAAAGAAAAAAAAAAATTAATGATGTAATAAATTACAAGGGGCAGCATTGAATGAGGTTGAAAAAGGGGGAACCAAGGTTTGAGACACCTAACAGACTCCTCCCGACATTCGTGCTCTCTCTCTCTCTCTCTCTCTCGCCCTTCCCATTTATATATATTTTCACACTACAAATTTACTCAACACCCACGCCAATTACCTCTTCCTCCCTCTCCTTCCACACCTGCAGTTTCAGAGAAAGAGAGTAAAACACACAACCTCTTTCTGTTTCGTCATTCAATTTTGATCCTCCCTCTGAAACGAAATATTCTCGAAGAAGTAGAGAGAGAAACTGCGTCAAATATGAACGGTTTTGATTCTCCCAATCAGGAGTCAATAAAGAGAAGATGGCAAGATGTTAACAGAGTTTCCACCCTACACTCTACTAGACTTGTGTCTACCGCTGTTCCGCCTTCTTCTTCGCCGTTTATGCCGAATGGTGTGATGAGGTCGTCGGCCCCGGGGCGAGTATTTCCTGGCTTCGACGATGAGGATCTGGTGTCTGCTGTGGTTCCGGCGGTGACGGTGGTGCTGGAAGGCCGTTCGATCTGTCAGCGCATCAGTCTCCATCAGCATGCAAGCTACCAGAGTCTGGCTAAAGCGCTGAGACAGATGTTTGTGGATGGTGCTGATCATGCCACGTCAGACGTCACAGAAGAAGATGATGATCTGAATCTTTTGAATGCTGTTCCTGGTCACCTTGTTGCCTACGAAGATATGGAAAATGACCTTCTTCTCGCCGGTGACCTCAACTGGAAGTATACTCTTTGCCTTTTCCTCTCATTTACACACACACACAGATAATATATTTTTAAATTTTCTCTGATATTAAAATAAAATTTAGTAAATATAATCATATAGAATGGTTTTATAAAATATGGTAAAAATTAAATTAGATATTACTGAAATGTCAAAAGAAATTACTGATTTAAGTTATAATAAAAGAAAAGCATAAGAGAACTACCGAATTTTGAAATTTAATTTAAAATTTAAAATATTATATATATATATATGATTGGTTCTATAATGTATAGGTGTGTTCATATATATATATAGGGATTTTGTTCGTGTGGCAAAGAGAATTCGGATATTGCCGGTGAAGGGGAAAACAAGGAAGGGAAGAGAAGAATGGGCGTAGATCGGGAGCTGCTTGTGTCTTGGGAATCAAATTAAAATTAATTAATATATAAAAATATAATTGAAAAAAAAAAAAAAACGAAATTAAGAAGTTGAATTTGGTAATGGGAATTAAGTATGTAATGTAATGTAATTTTGCATCAGCGTGTAAAAGCTCCTTGTTTCCTCCTTTTAATAAACATACTATTTTCCTTAACCATTTAATTATCTTAACTAATTAATTTATACTAAATGGGTTTGTCAAGACAAGTGAAAACTCTTTATATATATATATATATATATATATACATCTAAGCATTGATAAATATAGCTTTAAATTTCTTTTTTAACCAGCCCACAAATAGCAAACATGTACATGTGGGTATTATGATTTAGCTTAATAAATAATTAATGTATGATCCTCTTGCAAAATATTTCCAATTAACTATTAATAATTAAATTTTAAATTAAATATTTGAACATAGAAAATGAAGTAATTTGAGAGTTAAATTTCTTATGTATATATATATATATATATCTATAGTACTAATTATTTTAACTGAACCCTGCGAAGGGATATTTAATTGCTATCGGACAGTGACATTATGGAGAATAGGCTTTTAGGATTGTGATATAAAAATTTCATTTACAAAAACTTGTATATATGCACACGTGGATAAATGATTATAAAATTTAATTAAGTCTAATTTTACTAATGAGTAATTTAACCAATAGTTAGGATTCTGATCCATCTAACAACCAATCTTTTCAAGTTGAAACTAAACGTAAAGTACTTGATGAAGCGTGCATGATTTTAATTGACAACCAATTTTCCCTAATACACTCACAACATAATAAGTGCACACACAAAACACACACACGCGCACATATACATATTGTCTATTCTATGAATTATTAAGCGTTGTTTGCAAATTTAAAAGAAATTTATAAAAAAAAATTAATTATATATATTAGCTTCTTAATGATTAAATTATAAATTTTAAATATATTATTATTTAAAAATTATATTTACTATTATTAGTCAAAAATCAAATAAAATAACTTTAAATTAAAAGATATTTATTTAGATATTAATTATACGACATATGATGAATTTTGAATAAAGTAACTTTAAATTAAATTTTCATGTTATTTAAATCAGTTATTTTACAATTTATTTTTTAATAGATGAAAATTTAAAATCAATAATGTTAAAAATTAATCTAATCAATATATTAAATGTATAAAAAAAACTATAATTAAATTTTATATATAGAATAATAAAATATATAATCAAATGATAAAAGAATAAATTTAAAGTTTTGGTGGATGTTACGTGTGAAGTTGCTAGTTTGGAAGTTTATAGCGTCATGGATACAAGAAGTTCAGACATAAGGACTTCGTAGTTATGCAAACACCATAACCCCATTATTATAATATAAACCATAATCCTCTTTGCGTGTTTATGTCTACATATAATATCGATACGCAGATATACACATAAACAACCATATATATATATATATATGTATATATCCAGCTGTGAATAGAACAGACCCCATTGTACTAATTTTACAAATTAATGATATTGACTTGTTAACTCCCCACAATTGTCAGAATCGTCAATCAATACCAATTTACAACGTTCAATTGAAAAAATCATGACTGACTAGAAACCAACATAATCAAATTATATATGGTGCGAATTAAGTAAGACAATAATATTTGAAAAAAAAGTTCAAAATTCATAGATAATTTAGTTATAAATTTGTATTTAATTTAAATAGTGAATTAGAATTTTTTTTTTTTTTCGTAATAGATTAATAATAAAAAAATAATGATCGGCGGCCAATCAACGAGGAATGGCATTTTGGTAATACTGGGGGACGTGTGTAGCTTAACTTTGAAAAATCAATGTCACGACCGAGATCCGATGCGTCACGTCAAATGGCGTTTCCCGCTGGCGGGCACCTTAACTCACGTGCGGTTTCCTTTAACGGCGGGTACCTTTTTTTTTATCCCCTATTATTTTATTTATTCATTTTTTAATATTCTATTATATATTATTATTTTTTATTTCTTTTAATTTTATTTTGTCCTCCTTCCTCAGCGCACGCGTCCTTCCTTAAACCTTCCAAAAAATGGGGCTGTTGCTCATACAAATCTCGGGACAAAAGACATGCATGCATAGAAAATTCCAAAAGTTTTAATTTAGGGTTTTATTAAATATTGTAAATTTGAATTTCCTGTATTTTCTTCAATTTAGTTGTTAAGAATGTTTTCTAAGCAGTTTTTGTATATTAATTTTTATTTTGTCAAAAGCAAACAATGCATACACAATTATAGAATTGAAAACCCGGATAAAAATTCTCACGATCTATTTAAAAAAAATATAATTTCTAAATTGAATTATAAATTAAATAATCCGAAATAAATTTTTTCACAATCTATTTTAAAAAAGTCAATTTCTAAATTAAATAACGAATCAACATCTACTTATCAACTTATTGATATTGATACATTGTACCAATTTACAATAATATTTTATGAATCATTATGATCTTAGAAAAATCTAATTTTTGTTACATAGCAAATATATTAAAGTTTCAATCCGATATGCTGAAATGAAAAAATTGCAATTAATAAAATTAGTCGAGGCTAACAACCTGGAATGGATTTCCAGCTTGTAGCAAGAAGGGTTTATAGTAACAGGAATCATGCAGGTTTAGTTTTCTAAGCTTTCAAATGGAGGCAAGCCCCATTCTTCTGGCTTGAAGTCTAATAGAGAGCTCAGAATTTGATCTGCTGTTTCATGGTAAGAGCTGTCCAATCTTGGATCAGGAACCATAACGACAAACCTGTGCAGTGCCCATACCATCTAAAAGTTAGACGTGAAGAATTTGAACAAGATGTTTGCTTTGATTATAGAACTCCAAAATTTGCGATTTGGTAACAAGCCAACAAAACAAATTAGTAAGTTGTAGCTTTTCAAGATCAAGAATTCTTGTGCAGACAAAGTTGTACTTGAAGCAGAAAGGGTTCAATCATACATCTTAAGACAAATTACAGTTTTACTCAGAAGTTGTTTAATCCTATTGTAGTTTAAACTTCGTTGTTTGTTGTTATTTCTCATAAAATTGTTAGTTTTAGGTTATTATCTAGTAATCCCTAATTTTTGGTTTATTTACATTGACTTTATTTAAAACGTCAATTTCATGAAATAAAAATATAACATAAATAGAATAAAGATCAACATAAGAAAGTATTCTAATTATCAGAAAATTTTATGTCCCGTTCAAGTTTTTAAGTCTTCATAATTATTTACTTCAGTGCAGAAATAAAAATTGATGGTTATGAAATTGATAATATGAGTGAAATTGTTCCAATATTGTATCAAATGTGTAAGTTATAACTAACTCTTATATATCAAACAACTAAAATCTAAAATCTAATGAGAATAGATTAGATTTGAACCACACGCATCTTTGATTTTGAACTTCTACATGTTTGTGTTCAGAGGTCTATATGTATGAAAGCGTTTTCCAACCAACAGTTTCATAAAAAATTATTGAAAAATATAAAATACTGAAATGTTAAAAAAGAAAGAGAAAAAGAAGGTTTGGACTGCAATAAGACAGGGAGAGAAACTAACTTTCCCTGTTGTCTTAATCAAGAAAATGGTCGTGCACATAGATTGAGTGGAATTCACTATTTTTGCAACTATAGTTTAGATTACTAACTAAATTGGCTGCAAGTTGAGACTGAAGACAGAAACCTAAATGGTGCAATTCATCAAGTTGCTGTCTAGTGCAGAAAGAAAATATTCGAAAGCGTGCACTTACATTCCAGCATTCTTAGCTGCAAGAACTCCTGAAGGTGCATCTTCAAAAACAAGTATCTTACATGGATCTACTGGACCATCCTAAGTACAAAACAACAATCATCAGTCCCATTGACAGTCTTGATTGCTGAGTCAAAAAGCTCAGCACAAGCAATCAAATGAAAGGGAGAGGACACTGAAAATTTATCCCAGCACATCTTAGAAAGTTATACCTCAAATCTCTTGGCTGCAGTAAGGAATCCATCTGGCGATGGCTTTCCCTGTTTAACTTCTGGATCATCCCCCATAACAATGTGATGCATCAATGTGAAAAGCTCACCATGTCTTTGTGTTTTCAATTCAAAATGCCGCTTATGTGTACTGTACAATACATCTTCATATAAACAATGTTTCTAAAATTCTTTGAAATTAAGCAAAGTAACTTCATACAGATTATATCTATGCTGGAAAACATGAACTCACCGAAATATACACTCATTGAGTTACGAGAATGCAATTTGAAAATTTCTTTTAAATGATAAAATCTACCTCTTAGATATTGTAAGTAGAACTGAGTCATACTATTAAGAATCTAAGTCATTTATAATA